GTGCTGTGCGGTGCCCAGCTGAGCACAACCCAGCGACCTTGGGACTGCAGGACACTGGACTGGACCCCGGCAATTTGGGGCAGCAGTTTTTCGGGAGCGCACAGCTTGGGAATGTGCTTTAAGAAACGCTCGGTCCTAGAGTGTCCGTGGAGGAGCGGCACTTACTTGTTCAACCTCCAATCTAGCCGCACCCCCACTTCCGGGCTGCTTGGAGGGTGCAGGCGTCCGACAGCCCCCAGGCTGGTCCGAGAGCCCTCGGAGCCGCCCCTCCCAGGACAGCTGCACTCGGGGAGTCGGCGCCATCAGCCCTGCGTGGACACGGGCCACCGCTCCCTGCACGTCCCTGTGGCTCACCCACCCTGCCTTGCCCTCTCCGCCTTGTTCTGGAAAGAGCCACAGACCCCTCGCACTGAACCTCCGCTCCCTGGAACCCTGCGAAAGACCCCACTGCCCGTTCCCTTTGAGCGTTTACCCTCTCAGGTTGGTTCTACAATAACCCTGCCCTGCTGGGCCCGGAGCTCTGCTTCTTCTTTGCCTTTTCCTTAGCGGAGGTCCTGTTTACAAACGGCGGAGCAAGCTCAGACGCCCAGGCTGCTGCTGCAAGGCTTCGTGGAAAGCAGCCTGGCTCAGCAGGGTCTTTCGTTCTGAAGGCAATGCAGGACTCGGGGGAAGCAGAGCCGGAGCTCTTCTGAAGACTCCCCATGGGGCTGCCTCGCGGGGCTGGGTTAGGGTTTAGATCTGGACGCCCCCCAGAGCCTCGTGCGGTCAGGTGTGCGGCTCTGGGAAGGCGACTGGATCCCGGGGCGCTGTTCCCACCAGTGACTCCCGCAGCGGTGATTGCGGGGCTGAAGGTGCTGTCGGCGGGTAGGGCCTGGGTGGCAGTGGTCACTGGGGCCTGGCCGGGACAAAGTGACCTTATCCCTGTTCCTGGCTGCTGTGGGCTGAGCGCTTTTTCCCCACCAGGCCCCTCTGGCCCAGATCCTGCTGATCCTAGGCTGAAAATGCAACCAAAAAGAAGCATTTCTTCCTATAGTTGTGGGTGTCTTATTCTGTCCCAGCGACAGACAAGTGACTAAATGGCGTCAGCCTTGACTAATGTCTCCCTAGGGCCAGGAGGGAGGAGACCTGGGGGATCCTTCTGAGGCTGCCTGAGCAGCTTTGCACGTAGCAGAGCAGGCGCCTCTCTTGCCCCTGTCTGGCCAGCCTGCACCCCCTCTTTTGGGAAGAGAACCCCTCTGTGCAGTTCGTTGGTCTAGGTAGGGCTGACTCAGAGGTGTGAGTGAGGGTTTCACAGCCGACTCTGGGGGTGGAAAGGGGAAGCCCTGCTTTATAGCATTTGCCAATTTCCATGGTGTAAATACCTCCCACCAACGGCCAATGTCAAGCTGTGCACCAGATTCTTACTCCTTCCTTCTGATTCTTAGGGCTTGCAGAGAGGACTATTTCTTTCTTTGGCACTGAAATATAGATAAGATGTTAGACTGGGGATGCCAGCTATGGGAGAGATTTTATTTGGGGGAGAGGGAGGAGGAGCACTTATAATATCATTTGATCCCCTGGATCTAGCCATACCTGAAGCTGGTATATTCTTGGAAGTTGAAGTTACACAGATCAATATTCTTCCTTCTCTGCCTAGTTATATGTTGAGCTCAAGC